GAACTGTGAGATATAAGTGTTTGTGGTTTGAGGCACCAGGCTGTGGTATTTTGGCATGGCACCCTGAGCTGATGAATACATCTTCCCCATCCTACTTCAACCACATGACACTAGAGGGCTTGGCCAGCTACCCAGCCAGCCCAGACCACACCAAATCAAGCAGAAACTTGCTTCTGGAATTTTCTGAATAGGAGCTAATGGAGGGGAGCTCCATCCTTTCTTGGGGCCAAAGCCAGGAAGATGGAAGCCTCGTGCTGCCAACACCTGATTCCAACCCTGTGAAGGAAGCTGCTGTGAGAGCACAAAGCTGATCTGCAGACCTCGGGGGAGACGGAGACCAGGGAAGGAGCCTGCAGAGCCTCACAGCGCTGGGACTGCGAGGCCAGGTGCTTCTCAGCCCCGACTGTTCCCTGCCCTGCCCGTGGCTAACTTATTGACCGATGAACTTCCCTTGTTGCCTGAGCAAACTCAAGTGAATTTTCTGTCACTCAAGCCCAAAGAGCCCTGACTGCAGTGGCAGGGCATGGCAGGGCTGGGCCGGCTGGGCAGAGGACAGTGTGGGTGGAGTCAGCTGTGACAGGCACACAGGAAGGGCAGTTACCACGTGGCCTCCCTGAGGTCTTCCTCCAGCCTCGACGGTGAGCAAGACTGCACTCACACGCTCAGGAGGTCAGAGTGAGGGGTCTAGTCAGAGGTGCCATGCTCAGAGCCATCTTGCCCTGGGCCAGACTCTTTGTCATTGAGGGCTTTGCCATCAGAGACAGTTTTAGTCACATCTTGGGTTCACTTGATCAACTGCTGCTCTCCTAGTTTCACGATCTTCAAAGCAGGCTTCCCCACGTGGATGCCAGGAAGCCATAGGCATCCTGGCCAGAAGCCCAGACCACGAAAAGGGCTCCTGCTGGTGCGCTCGGGTTCCAGAGGGCAGGACTGAGGGGGGTGAGAGGAGCCCAGCCTGGGCAACCGAGACACGTACACCACTCTTGATCCATCTCCTGGAACTTTTCACCCCTCAAGTTTGGACCCCAGTGGGGCACACATGGGAAAGACAATGCCCATGTCCCCAGCTAGTTTCCCATCAGAAATCAGAACTGGTCATTGCACCAAGCACCTTCCTCCATTAAAACGGGACAGACCAAGGACCACTTTCCTAATGGATGCACCTTCTTGATCCATCTCATGCTCCCAACAGAGCTGGGAGGATGCCACTCCAGGGCAGGCCTTTTGACCCAGCCTCCAGCCAAAGCCAGTCCCCCTGCCAAGCAGGCCCTAGAATTACACTGGAGGGTGGCAGGCCTCACCTGGAAATTTCTTGCTGAAAATGATCAGTTTCCACACAAGCACTGCCTGGCTGTTTCATTCAAATTGAACCCAGAAGGAGACCTCGGCTTCAGTCTTGACTGCCTGGAAATTGTCAGACACGTGCAGACTGACCCAGTAGATATAGCAAGTACACACAGGGCACCAACCAAGACAAGTGTGCACACGTATGCACACACACACACACACTGCAGAAAATCTAGAAATAAACTATTTTAATTTCAGCTGTCATGGAAATTTTATGTCATTTCCCCAAAAAACACAACTTTTATTTTATGATTTAATCTTGTTTTTTTTGTTTTAAGAATTATTTAAGAAAAAGGGGAGCTGAATGTGATGGCTCACAGCTGTGATTCTAGCACTTTGAGAGGCTGAGGCAGGAGGATTGCTCGAGCCCAGGAGTTCAAGACTAGCCTGGGCCACACGGCAAAACCCCATCTCTACAAAAACTACAAAATTAGCTGGATGAGGTGGTGCATGCCTGTAGGAGGGATGCCTTCCTCAGGCAGGGGCTGCCCCAACTGCAGACATCAGGACAGGGAGCAGGGCCAGGTGTGGTGACAGAGATGGGTTGCTGGACGGGAGCTCTCCCACCCCCTCCTCATTTCCGAGTCCTAAGGGCAGGGGTGGTGGAACGTTATAAAACCCCCCAGCACCATGCCGCTCTCCTGGCTGCTCCATCTGAAGGGGAGAAGGGTGTGGCCTGGGCCCCGGTGAAGGAGGCTCAGCCCTTCCTTGCTCCACGTTGCTCTTGGGAATGGTCCCGAAGAGGTAGCTGAGGCACTGAATCATGCATGGGAGGTGATGACGGGTGCGACCTGAGGCCACAGTTCTCACAGCATAACTAGAGCTGCCTTGGCTGAAAGAAGAACGCTGTCATGTGGGGCTTCTGGCATCTGGACAGAGAGGGGATGTATCCCAGCGCCTCTCCGAAAGTAAACTTCCATTCAGCCTCGGCTGGGTCAGGCATCCGTGCCAGGACGAGGAGGTATGGCAGGGGGTGATCCAGGGCTATCTGTAGGACAAGCCCCACCAGGGGACAGGGTATCTGAGGGGCACCAGCTCTGCCTCTAGGAGGCTGAGTGGGTGGTGAGTGGGGGGTCCCACCTGTCACCAACAGGAGCAGGGAGAGAAGGGCAGAAGGAGGAGGGGAGTGGTGGATAGACAGATGGGTCCACAGGGGAGCAAGCGGAGGGAGAAGGGGCAGAGCTGGGGAGCAGCTGGAGGGGTGCGTGGGGCACCTTCCTTGTTTCCCACCTTGCAGCACTCCCCGTTCCTGGCCCAGGGCAGCTGAGGCTGCAGGACCCACTTCTCACTGTCACTGAGTCCCTTTGGGCCCCAGCATGGTCACCTCAAACTTGTCTGGCAAATGAAGTCTGGCCAGCATTGGGGTGGCCCCACTGGGTGTCTCGGACACTCCAAACAGGCAAAGCCATGCCCTAGGTCATCCATGCCTGGGTCACCTGCCCCTACCCCCAACTGGACAGCCTTGGCTAGCTAGAAATCCCATAACCTGAGATAGCTGGGTCTGTGTCCACCCCAGGGTAGATCCCCGGCAACCCCAGCCTGTGGTGGGAGAAGAGCAGCCTGCTTGACTCCCGATCTGGGGCCACTTCTGGCTCCTCCTGTCCTTTTTCCCTCCCTGAGGAACCCCGCTAGTTCTGCCAGGCTGGGTCAGGGTCTCAGGCCCCTCATTCATCTGTAGATTCAAGTCTGACCATCATAGGCAGGGTCCAAGCCAGGTCCAGGGCAGGGGCTGGAGGTGGGGCATGGCCCAGACTGTACGCCAGCGGACTGAGCGACAGGACTTTTGAGATGTGATGGTGTCTGGTCCACGCGGGGTTATGGTTTCTCTTGAAACCACAGAGACCTGGTTCCAATCCCAGCTCTCCTATTTGGCTGTCAAACCTTGAAGTCCCGTCACCTCTCTGTGGCAGTTTCCTCCTTTGTGAAATTGGGTTGATGAGGATTAAATGCTTTAATGTACCTCAAGTGTCTAGCCAGGGCCTGGCATACAGTAGGTGCTCAATAAATGCTTATCCTTTCTCCTCTGTCTCTGTCATCCTGCACATCCCTGTGATTCGTGGTTTACATACAGCTTTACATGTATCACCTCCCTTGTGGCAAAGATTGAACCTTCCCCTCCAGAGGCTGCTGCATACAGTAGGTGTGCAATAAATGCCTGCCATGGTTGACTAAGAAACAAATGACTATTGTTCTGTGGGGATCTAGGCAAACCTAAGCGCTTCCATCTGGGTACCCTAGGAGGCCTGGGATGGAGGCTGTGCCAGGCTGGCCTCAGTGGCGGTGAAGCCATTGATTCCACAACCTGTTCCTTGTTTTTCCTTCTCCTCAAGTCACCAGGGCACCTGGTCCTCGTTAGGGGCTAATTACTGGCCAGCTATGGGCCTGGGGTCGGGGGGCTGTTGGAAGACTGTGTTTGGAGGAAAAGAGCTTTCTTTTCAGGAATGAAAAACAAGAAGAGAGAAGGCTTCTGCTCTATGAATCAAAAATTTGGGTGAAGATCTCTGCCGGCCCCATCTCCCCCCCCTCCTTTCCCCTCCCCATCTTCCCTGTTCTCCACCTACACAGATGTCTATGGAGCCTCCAGAAAGGGTGCTCCTGCCCACAGCTGAGATTCAAGTCGGGATTAGCTGGGAGCCTCCCCCTGCCTTGTTGCTGGCTGGGCAGAGAAACACAGGCCTGGAAGATCATGGCAACCAGCAGACCGGTAATAACCTGGCTCCAGTATCTCTGCTGGGGCTTCCCAGTTTACCAAACATTCAGGCGGTCTCTTGACAACCTTGGGAAGTGTGTGTGTTGGGGAACAGTGTCCCTGCTTCCAGCTGAGGAAAAAGAAAAACATGGGCGATTTAGATGATGTGCAGTGATCCTATGTTTCTGTTGCTGAGGCCGGAACATGGTGGCAGTCATGGCTCACTGCAGCCTTGACCTCCCAGGCTCAAGCGATTCTCCCACTAAAGCCTCCTGAGCAGCTGGGACCACAGGCACCTGCCATGACATCCAGCTAATTTTTTTTCTCATAAATAGAGATAGGACCTCACTATATTGCCCAGACTGGTCTGCAATTCCTGAGCTCTAGCTATTCTTCTGCCTCAGCCTCCCAAAGTGCTGAGGTTACAACACGGAGCACTCTACCCAGCCCATATGTTTCTCGAACTCCTGACCTCAGGTGATCTGCCCACCTCGGCCTCCTAAAGTGCTGGGATTACAGGCGTGAGCCACTGCACACCGCCCCATCTGTTTCTTTTACAGTGAAAATAACATTTTGTGAAAAGTACTGTGTTCTTTACATGTTTAAGATTACACTATTAAAAGCTGAGATCTCAGTTTTTAATATTATTGCAAATCTGACTCTTTTTTTTTTTTCTTGAGATGGAGTATCCCTCTGTCTCCCAGGCTGGAGTGCAGTGGAGCAATTTCGGCTCACTGCAGCCTCCACCTCCCGGGTTCAAGTGATTCTCCTGCCTCAGCCTCCTGAGTAGCTGGAACTACAGGCACGTGCCACCATACCTGGCTAATGTTTTGTATTTTTAGTAGAGATAGGGTTTCACCATGTTAGCCAGGATGGTCTTGATCTTCTGACCTCGTGATCCGCCCACCTTAGACTCCCAAAGTGTTGGGATTACAGGCATGAGCCACTGCGACCAGCCTATGTATTTTTTTTTCATATTTTCAGAAATCTCTTTGTTTCTGTATATATATAAAGCATTGTTACTTTATGTTCTCTCTGATAATTCCAGTATCTGTGTCTAGAGTCTATCTGTTGTTTCTGCTGGTCTCAGAGTATATTGTTTCCTTGCGGTGTTTATGAATTTTTTAAACTGGAGATCTCATTTTCTTTTTTTTTAGAGACAGGCGTCTCTCCCTACATTGCCCAGGCTGGTCCCGAACGCCTGGCCTCAGGTGCCGGGATTCCAGGCACGAGCTACCACGCCCAGCCAAGATGTTCCTTTTCCTTGGAACTTGAGCAACACAAAATCCTGAGACCTGGTGGGTTGTGTTCCCCTGGGGCAGATTCTCAACCAGGCACACTTCTGTCCCCAAGGACACATTTCAATGTCCTGAGACATTTCTGGGTGTCACAGCTGTGTGTGCACGCACATGTATGTCCCTGCACATGCTACGGGCACCTTGGGGATAGAGACCAGGGATGCTGCTCACATCCTGCAAGGAGACTGACCCACCAGCATCACCAGGGTAGGCTCCAGGCAGGGTCTGCCTGTGCCTCTGCCAGCCACCTAGACCCTGCCACTTGGGGCCACTCTACCTTCTCCCCTTGTGGTCTCCAGGGCCACACTCTAGCCTGATTTCAAGCTGTAAACTTGGAGGACATATTTTTCTTCACCTTGCATGGAACCCCAAAGCTGAAAGGCAGTTGTTCCAGAGGCCCCAGCCTGTCTCACATTTCTGCTTTAGCTGCAGGGTCCAGCTCTATGTGGGTGGTCTCCTGATGAAGTCACCCTGGGACAGACACTCTTCTGTCTCCTGCTTCCAGTCCTGTAAAGTCGCTGGGAAACCCCAGGGCATGGGAGGTACCCTCAAAGGCAGACATGAGAAGGCCCTGGTGGGCAGACCCCAGCCTCCTAATGGGGAGGGGTTGCTCTCCTTGGCTGCTGCTGGCCCACCCACTGTGCTGCAGTCCACCTGGTGCTGGGGCTGTGGGGCACAGGCCTTCAGGACCCACTTCCTTTCCTGCCAGGAGGTCCAGTCCTGGTATCTTTATGTCCCCAGGAAAGCCCACTCCCATCCTCAGGGGAGGAGGGCAGCTGCATGCTGGGCTGGATTGAGTCTGTCCTGGGACATCCTTGCAGACCGGGTGCAGGGGGGGACGTGGCTCTGTGGGGTTGCAGTGGGCAGGTGAGTGTGGAGCTGGATTCCGGAAAGGAATTGACCACTGCCTACCAGGACCCCTCCTCTGAGACAGGGGTGACTTGCGGGAGAGTGCACCAAAGTGCCCTGGTCACGAGGGGTCCCTGCACCCCCCACACAGTGACCTCGCATTGGGGTCCCTGCACCCCCCACACACTGACCCTGCATTGGGGTCCCTGGAGCCCACACACACTCACCTTGCATTAGGGTCCCTGGGGCCCACACACACTGACCCTGCATTGGGGTCCCTGGGGCTCACACACACTGACCCTGCATTGGGGTCCCTGGGGCCCACACACACTGACCCTGCATTGGGGTCCCTGCACCCCCACACACTGACTCTGCATTGGGGTCCCTGTGTCCCCTCCATACTGACCTCTCCTTGGGGTCCCTGCACCCCACAAACACTGACCTTGTATTGGAATCCTTGTACCCCCCCACACACTGACCCCGCATTGGGGTCCCTGGGGCCTACACACACTGGCCCCGCATCAGGGACCCTGGACTGCAGAAGCCATCCGTGATGTTGCTGTGCCCTGGCTCTGGTGGCACTCAGTACATCCAGGCCAGGCTGGGCAGGGGCCTCCCCACCAGTACCTACCCCAGCACACCAGGAGTGGGCCTGGGTGGGGGGCAGGGAGTGACACCCAAGGGGACCTGCCCCAGCCTCCTCCTGTACCCTGGGGGTTTTCCTTGTCCTTGGCTCAGGGAAATGGCTTCTTTCCTCTGAAACCTGGGGTCAGGCTGGGCGTGGGGAAAAAAGGGGGGTGAGCAGGACTCCAGACCTTAGGAATCCTGAATGGCGTGGGGGAGGGGGGACAACAGGCTGTTCCTGTGACGTGCCTGGGAGCTGTCTGGGGCCCCAGAGTGACCCCCTTCCTGGGGACAGGCCCTCCTGGGGAGACAGGCGCACAGGTTGTTGTGTGGGACTCAACGTGGGGCAGCGTCCTGGCCAGGATGAGGAAGGCCAGGACGGGGTGGGGGGGGGGTCTGCGGGAGGCACAGGCAGGCCAAGCTCCCCGATTTGCTGCAGCCAGACTCCCTCATCCTTGACTGGGACCGGAAATCCGACCGCCATCCCTGCCAGGCTAGCATACCCCGCTTAGAGGCCATCCCCACCCCCTCCATCTGCTCCCATCCAAGCGACAGCCACCCTGTGCTGGTGCCCTGGGGAGGGGAAAGCTGGCCTTGGGCCCGCATCGGAGCCTCCCGCGCACTCCGCTGGCCATTGTCGGAGGTGCAGCCTGGCATGAGCAGCGCCTTTCCCTGGAGAGGGGACCCAGGGCAGCACCGCTGGATACCGCTGGAAACTGCTGGGGCGGCCAGAGATCTGCCAACTCGTGGAGATCTGCCATCCCCCGTGTCCACTGACAGCGGCAGTAGTAGCTGCAGGCCATGCGGACTCAAGAGAGCCCAGCCCATGTCAGCATCAGGGGCCAAAACGGAGTCCAGCGCTCGGCCCCAGGTCAGCCTGGGGCAGGCCTGGGGAGCCCGATGGCAAGGGGGGCAGAAAGGCGCCCACTCAGGGACTGCGCCTGGGCCTGCCGGGGGTCTCCAGACAGAGAGAATGAGTGCGACGGGGAGCCTGTTCTCGCAGGGCTGAGTGCCAGGGCAGCCCTGGGGGCCCGCTGGCCTCACACGGACTAGATGATAGTGGAGTCCAGAGCCCCCCTAGTCCTGCTGGCTCACGGCGCGGGCCTCAACAGCTGCTTAATGAGCGTGACAACTTCTGCTCCAGCTGCGTGATGCGCTCACTCTTCTCGGCCACCTCCGTCGGCATGAGGATGGTCTGCTGTCAGCTCGGGGCGAGGTGGACGTCAGGGCAGGGCAGGGGGGCCCGGAGGAGGAGTGGGCAGGGCCCAGCTGGCACAGGCCGCAGCCAGCAGCTCTCCCAGGCCCCTGGCCACCTCCTGTACCTCGCGCAGTAGCCGCCCCAGTGGGTGGGGGCTCCCCGCGGCCCCAAAGTCGGCGCAGCCTCTGCTCTGGCCCAGGCGGCGCTGGCGCTCCGGCACTCCTGCTGCTGCTGCTGGAACCAGTCGCCGCCCCGCGCCATCATCTCCAAACCCTGCAGCAGCACCTCTTCCTGCTCCCACGCCGCCAGTGATGGTGAGCCTCCGACGTTCCCCTCGGTCACCGCGCCGCCGGGCATCCCCTGAGTCCGCCTCCAGGGCCTGCAGGCCGCTGCACCTGCGTCCGCTCTCGGGCTCCGTTCCAGTGCCGCGCTTTGGGGCTGCTCGGGCTCCGCGGGACAGGGTGCCGCCTGGACTGGGGGACATAGCTGCTCCGGGCTGCGGGCCCGCGCCGCTGGAGCCGGCCTGAGAGCGCGCACGCCCAGGGGCAGGGACTTCATCTCCAGGACAGGCCGCGGCTAGTAGGGGGGCACCGACACCAGGAGCTGCAGCGGCGACTGGTCCCCTGGGGTGCCGTGGCGCGCTTGGGACCCGGGACTGCAGTCAGCTTCAGCAGCGAGGTGAGCAGGCCGGCCACGAAGCGCTCGAAGATCAAGTCGCCGCTGCCCGGGGACACCTGGCACAGACCCTGGAGCACCCCGCAGCGCAGCTCGCGCGCGTCGGCACTCTGCCAGCGGGACTCGATCTCGCGCAGGTGCCGCCGCGCCACCGGTCGTCCAGGATGTGGAACAGGGTGCGCTGGCTCTGCAGAAAGGCGCGGGGCAGCCCCTCCTTGCTGGGCACGGGGGCGGGCTCGGCGGGAGGCACGCAGCCCAGATCAGCCTTCGTGGCTGGGGTCCCCGTGTCCACCCGCTTGTTCCCGCACGGCGCCACGGTGGGGCCGGCTCGGCGCGCTCCTGTATTTATTTTTAGTAGATAATAAAATAATAAAATAGGTTGTGTTGCTTAGGCTGGTCTCGAATTCCTTGGCTCAAGGGATCTTCCCACCTTGCCCTCCAGAGCGCTAGACTTACAGGCATGAGCCGCGACACTGGACAAGGAGGAATTTTATAGGCAGAACACTGTTGAGCCTTGCCATGGCATGATAATGTGGTTTCATTTTAATTTCTCCCCTTCAAATGTTTCTCTTTTTAAAAATTATTATTTTTGGCCAGGCGTGGTAGTGTAAGCCTCTAATTCCAACACTTTGAGAGGCTGAGGCAGGAGGATCCATTGAGCCCAACAGTTTGAGGTTACGAAGCTGTGATTTCACCATTGCACTCCAGCCTGGGTGACAGAGTGAGACCCTATCTCTATTTCTTTTTAAAAGACGCATAATAATTGTACATAATTTACATAATTGTACATAATTATAATTGTACATAATAATTGTACATATTGTGATGTTTCAGTACGTGTACCTCCAAATGTTTCTGAGCGTGGCTATGAAGCGTCTCTGTTCCCTGATACTCACCACGCAGTGTTGATTTTTATGTATCAATCCTTTTTCATGTTAACCTCAACTGAGAGGAAATGTTTGTAGATCATAAGCAGAAACACAGTTTGTTCATTCAACAATCATTTATCATCTGTTGGTATGTGCCAGGTCCTTGTTTATCAGCGTTGGAGCTCTCTATCCTTGAGGAATTGCCCTCTAGTTCTTTGAAAGCAGTTATGAAACTAGACAGTACCTGTCAAGGAGGAGGACTTGTTATGTTTGGTGAGGACAGGGAGTCGAGCTTCTGAATTCTTAGTATACATTGGAGGGCTCAAAGTATGTTTGCTGAGACATGGAATCAACTTCAATGCCCATCAGCAGTGGATTGCATAAAGAAAATGTGGTACATATGCACCATGGAATACTACACAGCCATAAAAATGGTCATATCTTTCACAGCAAGGATGGAGCCGTTGTTGCATTATTCTAAGCGAACTAATGCAACAACAGAAAACTGAATGCCAGCCAGGTGTGCTGGCTCACACCTGTAATCCCTGGACTTTGGGAGGCCGAGGCAGGTGGATTCCTTAAGGTCAGGAGTTCGAGACCAGCCTGGCCAACATGGTGAACCCTGTCTCAACTAAAAATACGAAAATTAGCCGGGCATAGTGGCAGGTGCCTGTAATCCCAGCCACTTGGGAGGCTGAGGCAGGAGAATTGCTTGCACTTGGGAAGCAGATATTGCAGGAAGCCAAGATCACACACCACTGCACTTCAGTCCGGGCAAACGACCGAGACTCCGTTTCAAAAAAGAAAAAAAAAAGAAGAGGAATAAGAAAAAGAACAAATGCCACACGTTATCCCTTATGAGTGGGATCTAAACATTAAGTGCATGCGGACACAAAGAAGCGAACAATAGACACCTGGGCCTACTTGAGTGTGGCGAGTGGGAGGAGGGTGAGGGTCAAAACGCTGCCTATAGGGTACTGTGCTTATTAGCTGGGTGACAAAATAATCTGTGCACCAAACCCTGAGACACACGATTGACCTACGTAAAACACCTGCACATGTGCCGCCGAATCTAAGATAAAAGTTGGAAAGAAAAACAGAAAACAAAAAAACTAACATATGTTTGCTGAAGAATGAGTGAAACTGTTGAAATTTTTGTTCCTCACATAGCGTACAAAGCAGGTATTGCTTTGCTTAGGGGGATTATCTGTAAGATACAGGGGGCTATTCCGAGGCTTTCGGTCGGGGAAGCCTGAGACTCATTCTCCTGGTTAACTGCAGTGCTGTCTCCAGTGCACTTCATCTGCCTGTAACCACGTGTGTTTATGGATGACGCACACACCCCAGAAATAGCTCTCCCTGGACACGTGTGGGTTCAATGTTCCTGGTTTCAGCCATTCATAAGTTTCCCTGTAGAGGTGTGGCTACATTGTTCCCAGTTATTTATTTTCCTGAGGCATCACTGTTTAATGTACATTTCCATATGATGGAAATTATATGATTTAATGAGGTTAATGGAGTTGGGGGGTTCATATAAGCCTCTGGCTGTACCTCTCAGAATAGAAGCTCTGCTGTTGGCCTTTATGAAAACCCATCTTGGTCAGGCTCAGTGCCTCATGCCTGCAATCCCAGCACTGTGGGAGGCCAAGGCAGGAGGAATATTTGAGGCCAGGAGTTTGAGACCAACCTGGGCAACATAGCAAGACCCCATCTCTACAGAAGTAGTAATAATAAAAATAAATTAGCCGGACATGGTGGCATGTACCTGTTGTTCCAGCTGCTTGGGAGGCTGATGTAGGAAGATCACTTGAGCCCAGGACTTTGAGGCTGCAATGAGCTATGGTCATGCCGCTGCCCTCCAGCTGGAGCCATGGTCTTATATATGTACAGTTTAATCTCTTAAGTACCACGGTGAGTATAATGGGAAAGTATATGAAATATCTGGGACAAGACAACAGCTTTTGAAATTGTTTTCCATGGTAC